GACGCTATAAACCCTTAAAGCTGTAAAGTTATAGTCCTCATACTATAATCAGCAGTCTCCTGAAGTTCTGGAAGAGGAGAATTTCCAGGTTGACAATTTGGTGGTGACTGTGAGATAAGTTCTCTACCAACGTCAAAAAATCCTTTTAGTTAGTTATAGTAAAAGTCGATCAATTTTGAACCAATTAACTTGAAAATTGGTATACTAATTCTTGAGAACCAAGCGCACCTTTTGTACTAAGCACTATCTTAGTAGAAAACGCCTATAAGAGAAGTTATTAAGCGTCAAATTACTGACAGCGATTTTGATCTGCAAAGGATTTTGCATGATAACCTTCTTGGAGAAACATTCGGATTATCATTACATGAACTTTAATCGCTCATAACTCAGCAACTACTAGACCAATTTTAGCGTTTTAACCTCCTTTAGGACCAGAAAAACTCTATCTACAACTTTCTCTTAAGTGACAAAGCCTGTTGTCATAGTAACTTTTCGAGATATACACCTATTTCTGAAAATTAGAATTTAGAAGTGAAAGCATAAGTGTTTGCATTGTGACAAACAGCTTCTAAAAGACAATAGCACATCTATACATACCCCAGAATTGTTTTCTTAGAGATATATATGACTACATATGTCCAGCATAGTTATCTAAACAGACAACACGATCATCAGCATAACATATACCCAAACACTAGAGAAAGCTGAGCATATATAATCAGAACTATACCTGATTATTCTTGTATAAATTGTTATCCTCTACTTGAAGTTATACCTGAGCATTTTATTAATTTTTGGGATTGGTTCACCTTAGAATTCCCTGCTTCTAGCTTTACTGCATGTTCGATATTACTTTTTAGAAGAATTGTTCAACAAGTAGTTATTTTAGAAGATTATCTTGAAGCTTTAATAGTAACCTTTCGATATAACTCAGAAGTTAATTTCTATACCTTAGTTACCCGTATTAGACAAGCACTTATCTTAACAGATAGATTTAGTCTTGATCCTTTTACCAGTTTATATATTCAGAGTGAAACTACTTCTATACACTCTAATTCGTCAACACAAGGTCTTCTTGATTTTGATTATAATTTAGATTTATTATTTCAGACTCCTCCTCCTAGCCCAAAATTAAACATGCCAACTGTTCAACAAGTCTACGATTATCTTGTTAATAATGATAAGGGACATATCCTTCTCCAAATTACACCTTTCTATGGTAATGGAACACAGGATCCCTTGGCTTGGATAGCTGATTATGAGAAAGCTGCTGTAGCTAATAGATGGAGTGCTGCAAGAAAAAGAGAAATCTTACCAGCCTTCTTAAGAGATAATGCTGATAAGTGGCAACAAACTTACTATGAAGCTAATGCTGCTACCAATAATGCTGAAGCTGATTGGACTGCTACTACTACCGCTTTTGCTAACCAATTTTGTAATCAGAGATGGCAGAATAAATGGGTTAAAGATTTAGAAGAGCTAAAACAGTTTCCAGATGAACCTGTAGATACCTATTATAGTCGATACAGAAGAATTATACAACGTATTGAAACAAATACCAATTTAAGTGATGCCCAGAAGTTATATCACTTCAACAAAGGATTATTGCCAGAAACCCTTCCAATTATTCTGTTACATGCTTCTGCAAATGTAGCTGCTGCTTTAGGACATGCTAGAACCTATGAACAGGGTAAAGACTTTGCTGCCAAAGTAGAACCTACTACCTCTACTGCTAATCGAAATCTTGAAAAGGATATTGAAACTTTAACCAAGCAAATGCAACAAATGACTCTTAACTACACTACTATTGCATCAGCACTTACTTCTAGGGAAAATTCTAGCCATAACAATCAAAGTTTCAGACCACAGTCTCGACCCAAGTCACAAGTTATCTGCTATAAGTGTGGTGAAGCTGGCCATATAGCTAGAAGTTGTTTAGCTGAGAAAAATCCTACAGTTGCTCAATATAAGCAATTAGCTAAAGATGTTAAAAGAAATATTAATTATCTTGAAGCAGAAGATAATGAACCTGAAGAAGTCTATATCTCTAAAACCTCAAGACCTCAGCCTTATTCTACCAACAGAATAAAAGCTAAAGAAGCTAGTAAAAACTCAGAATCTCAAAAGAAGTTAAACTTGAGAAATCGTACTATAGTGAATCCTATCCAGAATGAACCAGATATAGCAATGGAAGAAACCTCTCCAGAAGTTACCTTTCAACTTAAAGAAAACAAGCAGAAGATTAAACTTAAAACCCAACTTTCGGTTATTGATCAAATCGAGCCTTATGATATTGCCAATGATATCTTAAACATGAAGTCCTCTGCTACTCTTGGACAATGGTTACAACAACCTAGTCAGCATAGAAATCTTGCAAAAATAGTACAGAAAAAGAAAGTCCCTATTACAGAAGCAAACCATCTTGAATCAGAAAAGGATAAAAGAACTACTGCTATGAGATGCCATATTAGAATTAAAGGCAATCCTGTTGTAGCAATCTTAGATTCTGGAGCTGCAGTAAGCATCATTACTGTTAAACTCATGAATAAACTTGGCCTTAAGATTAGTGGACCTTCTACTACTATTGTAGTAACTGCAAATGGAACTAGAGCCAAAGCATTAGGAATGATTGAAGATGTGAAGATTGCCATTCAAGATATTATTATCCCTGTCAACTTACAAGTTATTGAGTCCATGGATGAGACTATTTTACTTGGAACAGATTGGTTTAATAAATCTAGAGCCAAATTAGATTTTGAAAATAATACCTTGCATGTTCGATATTTAGAAAAGAGAGCTACTATCAATGCTACTTATACTAGCAGCCTCAACATTAGTCCTATTTATGAAGAGGATGAATTTGATAATGATGATGATCAGTGGATCGATGAGTTAGAAGATAGTGAATCAGAAACCTATTATGCTGAAGAATGGCCACATACTGTAGATAATCTATACTATAACCCTTGGTTAGAAGTTGAAAGGACACCTGCTTTTTATTTAAGTGAATTATTAGAAGAGCAAGTATACTTTGAAGAGGAATCTAATCTAAACATTAATACTGAGCTTACCCAACCTCAGTATGATAAAGCTAATCAATTTTTAATGGATAATATTGATCTTTTTGCTGAGAATATACAAGAAGAAGGACAATCTAAGGAGTTAGAACAAACCAACATTATTTGTCATGAAATTAATACTAGAGATCACAAACCAATTAAACAACGAGCCTATCCTTGTCCTCCAGATGAGTTAGAATTTATTGAGAAAGAAATCAAAGCTATGGAAAGCAAAAGAATTATTAGAGAATCCTATGGTCCTTGGTCTTCTCCTGTAGTACTCGTCCCTAAAAAAGATGGTCGAAGAAGAATCTGCATCGACTATAGGAAGTTAAATGCTGTTACTGAAAGAGATGTTTATCCTCTACCTACTATCAATGAAATTTTAAATTTATTTAATGGAGCCTCTTGGTTTACTAGTTTAGATTTAGCTAGTGGATACTGGCAAGTAGCTGTAAAAGAAGAGGATAAAAAGAAAACTGCTTTTATCACTAAGTTTGGAACATATGAGTTCAATGTTATGCCTTTTGGACTTACCAATGCACCTGCTACTTTTCAACGACTTATGGATAAAATTCTTCATCCATATATTAGTAAATTTGTAGTAGTATATTTAGATGATATTACTATCTACTCTAGAACATTCGAGCAACACCTTGAGCATGTTCAAATAGTTTTTCAAATATTAAGAGAAGCTAATTTGAAGTTGAATTTAGAAAAATGTTATTTTTTTTTAAATAGCATTAAATTTTTAGGGCATATTATTGGAAAAGATGGAATTAAAACTGATGAAAGACTTATAGAAAAAGTAAAGAATTTTCCTACCTCTACTACTCTTAGACAACTTCGAGGATTCTTAGGATTAGCCTCCTACTATAGAAGATTTATTCAAGGATTTTCAAAAATCGCTAAACCTCTTAATCAACTCCTTAAAAAAGATGAGCCTTTTCATTGGACTAACTCGCATAAAGAAGCATTTGAAGCACTTAAACAATACCTTATTACCAGTTCTATCTTACGATATCCAGATTTTGAACTGCCTTTCTATGTGCATACTGATGCTTCTACCTCAGGATTAGGAGCAGTATTACCTCAACTAACTGAAGATAAAAAGGAATATGTTGTTGCTTATTCAAGTAGAAGTTTAAACAAAGCAGAGAAAAATTATTCAGCTACTGAATTAGAATGCTTAGCTGTAGTTTGGGCAATAGAATACTTCCACAGTATTTGGGAGCTAAACCTTTTTACCTTATTACCGATCATGCCGCTTTAAAATGGTTAAGGACCTCAGAATTAAAAGGTAGACGAGCCAGATGGATTATGAGATTAGAACCTTATAACTTCACTATAATTCATCAAGCAGGAAGAAAGCACAATAATGCAGATTCATTATCTCGCATGTACGAAGCACCTATAAATTACATGGATATTGAAGAGGATTTACCTACCGAGAAAGAAGCCTTTGAATTAGCTATTAGCCAAAGAATAGCACAGATAGAATCTCCTTTATATCAGAGTAGTCAAGTTCAAAGATTAGCAAATATGTTGAAGCCTTCACTACCCCCTCTTGCTGAGCAAGTGACTGAACCTTATACTCACTTCGAGCTGAAGATTTAGAACTATTAAAGGAAAGAATAGATACCCCTTGAGTTGGACAGGACCCAATACTCAATGTTGGTGTAGAAATATTCTTCTAACTAGTAGAAGCCAATGTTATCAATGTCAAAGAGATTGCCAAATTTGGGCAACTCTAAAAAGAGCACCCTTATATGAAATCATTAGATGCTGCCCCGAGCAGTTACCTGTTAATAATTTCTTAGAGAATGAAGAAGAAGTTTTCATGTTAACTACTATAGAAGAAGAATCAGAAGTCTTCTCTATTCCAAATAAGCATTATAGAGATATGCTTAACACCTTGCAACCAACCTTAACAGAAGGACTTATTTAGTATTTACGACTATATCAAGATGTAGAGTTTACATCAGAAGGAATTCGATATGAAGGACAACACTGTACTTGGTATTATATTGAGCATATTAGCAGTTGACTATCTCAGAACCATAGAGCCTGGCCTAGAGATTGGAAAGGACCTAATGCACAGTGTTGGTGTGAATATAAATTATACTCGCCTAGTGATGAGTGTTCAAAGTGTTATAGTGATCTTAGATTGTGGATGACCATTAAAAGCTACCCAATTGAAGAAATCGCTAAAAGTTATTGGCCTACCCCTGATTTTGATAGTGAAGATAATCAAGATAACCTTGAACAACTTTTAGAATTACCTGATCCTCTTGAGGATAACATTACTCCATTTGTCACTGTTGACTCTGCTAATCAGTTTCTTTTAGAAAATTTTAACTTTGATGAAAAGCCTCTTGCTCCTAGTACTATTGAATGGGAAAGTTCAGTAATTGAAAAAGTTACACTTTTATCTTATCTTATAACTCAACCCTGGTGGTTACCCCCATTGGAAACTCCTACACCTTTAATGTATATAGAAAATGATAACTTTTCTGAATATTATCTTTGTAATATGGTTTGGTGGAGAGTAGCCAATCCTACAGTATACTTCCCATAATTTTTTTTTATTTTATTTCATTTTTTCTTCTAAAATATTATTAGCCTATTTATCTTATCCTCAAAAAAAAAAAAAAAAAAAATATAATAATAATAATAAATTTTTTTTTAGTTTAGTCTTTCGCTGGGCCTAGTAAATAAGGGAGACTAGGACAGTATAGAGCGAGGCTGGAGCTCTATTCACTTTAATTATTTATATCTATTTTATTTATCTTTCTTAGAAATCTGACGTTAAAGAAAATTCAGTTCAGGTTGTCAGTGTCCTGACGTATAACATAATGGATCTAATTACCTACCAGAATATTAAGAATTTCTTGGAAACAGCAACTTTTCCTCCAAATTTTTCTAGAAGTCAAAATAAGAAATTAGAAACACAAAGCAAATTCTATATTATTAAAAATAATCAACTCTACAAACATGATCGAAGAAAGAAGAAAGAGTATCAACTCCTTAGAGTAATTCAGAAACATGAAGTAGAACCAATCTTATTTCTTCTTCACAATCACCCTATTGGAGCTTATCTAGGAATTGACAAGATGTTTGAAAAGATTCGTAGTAGATACTTTTGGCCCCAAATGTATCAACATATTAAAGATTATGTACAGACCTGTGATACTTGCCAAAAAAGAGGAAGATATCATACCCCTGGATCTTTACAGCCTATCCCAGTAGAAGCACCTTTTCATCGAATTGGTTTAGATTTTGTTGGACCACTACCAGTTACATCACACCAGAATAAATATATTATAGTTGCTACTAACTATATGACAAAATGGCCTGAAGCAAGAGCTGTACCAAAAGCTGATGCTAAAGCTACTGTAAACTTTATCTATGAAGAAATAATCTGTAGACATGGATGTCCTTATTACCTACTCACGGATAGAGGAACACATTTTAATAACGATCTGGTGAAAGCACTATCACAAAAATTTGAGATTTAGCACTTACTCTCTACTCCATATCATCCACAAACTAATGGATTAGTTGAACGATTCAACAGAACATTATGTGAATCTTTAGCAAAGTTAACTAGTCAAGGGCAAGAATGAGATATTTTTATACCTTCTGTCTTATTTGCTTATAGAACTGCTAAGCAATCGACTACGAGGCTTACACCCTTTTATCTTACTTATGGAAGAGAAGCAAAGTTTCCTATATCAGAAACAGAAGATATTTTAGAGGGAAATATCTTAACTAGATTATTTTCTTTAATTGAAGAAGTACTTGTAGAACAAGAAAAAGCTAGAGCAAATATTAGAAAATCACAGCAACAGCAGAAGTTTTACTGGAGTAAAAAGTATAAAAAAGTAAAACCGATCTTTAAAAAAGAAGACAAAGTTCTCTTGTACGATGCTATGAAGATAAACATTATTCTGGAAAGTTATTACCAAAATGGAAAGGGCTATACTTTATTCATAGTAGAGTAGCACCAGATGTTTATCGACTACGAACCTTAGATGGAAAAATTTTAGAAACACCAATCAACACATTGTTACTCAAACAGTATTGTGATAGAAGTTCGTGGAACCCCCTAGTTATTATCAATGACGAGTCAAGCACATAGTCTTAATTTCAACTTTCCCCATGAATAACACCAATTTTAATATTATTCTTATCGATTTGTTGAATACTGTACCCGCGAATCCAGTAGTACCTCCACGACCTGTGGATAATTCTCAAGATTTACAGGAGAGAATTATGGGAACTTATAGAAGACTTCTTAGAACCCGAACTATAATGAGAAAACATCAGTTAGCCTATGCATATTACCTAGGTGAATTATTAGAACAATATCCAGAAGAACGACGGATAAGTAAAAGAAAAATATCGCAATATTATTATAGTGCTTCTATTCGAACCTATAATATATTTGCAGGAATTGGAGTAAATCAAATATTCCGAACTAGTAACACCACCTTGGCCAAGATTGCTAGACTTTCTGCTAATGATTATCAAGCCCTTATATAAGTTTTTCTCGGAGCTCAAAACTAAGTCGGGGAGAATTGTTAACCTTAAGAGTTTTCACCTTTTCGTCTATAACTTTTGATTCAGAGAAGTTAGAAAGATGAAACAACCACCATTGGATACAGCTCACCGAGACGCAAAACATTCGTTTTTGATACATCTGCACCTACTTTTTTGATACTGATCGACATGCAGATCCCGGCAAAAAATAAAAATTTTAAAAACTTTGAGCGAAGAAATAACAACAACTACCTGCTTGAATCTGATAAAACATTCTAGA